TCGAAAATGTCTAGAGACCTGACGCGACCTGTCCATCGCCACGAGATCCCCTGTACCGTACAGCACTCCAGTAAGGCCTTCTCGACGGTTGTGAATTCTGGGCTCTGTGCGCCGAAGATGAGCGGAAAATGAAGCTATTTGACCACCACTGCTTGTGGACCATCCGTCTTTGTCTCTAATGAGACAGTCCGAACTCGCTGCGACATCGCAAGGCTACCCCAGGCCATTCAAGAAAGATGGCCTAGGCGGTCTGGATACGTTCTTCGCCGTTCACCTCATGAGCTCAGTGGTACTGCCCCCGATCCGTCATGGTTACCTACTTGGAGGCGCCAAAGAGGAGGTCAACCTTAAATCTGGCTCGACATGGTCCGTCAAGACATGGAAGTCCGTTCTTGGACGTTCGGTATTCGGTTTCCGTCGCTGCCAAAGAGAATGGGTTGAGTTGTCCAAATCCGCTGTCGCGGATCCTCATGCCTGGAGCCGTACAGTCTCTGGCATCATCGAGGCTGGTTAGATCAGGCATGATCGCAGTCTTCCCAAGTATGAGTAATCCTGTTCATTTTAAGAACCGTGGGACGCAGTACAAAACTCACTCCGGACTAGGGCTCATATACGTCTGGAATGTCGATACACTAAACCTGGCGTTCTAAAAATTACATTGCGTATTCCTTTCGGGAGACACGCATCTTTGCTTCAAGTAGGTGTTTTGGCATCTGTTTATAACCTTTACATGTTATGATCACATGCTAAATATGTACCCTCAGATCTTCCTTTGAAATTTTAGGCAATAACCATCGGGTTTCTTGTGTTTGTGTGTTACGACATCTTCTTTGTCTTCGTCACTCCTCTCTTCACCAAGGTGAGCGATTTTCCTCACTACCCGCAGTTCATAGAACATCATTTTACAGTTTGACTTATTATTGTTCATTCCCTTCACGTTTCGACTGTTATTTCCAATATTGATCTGGTATCTCGAACAAAAATGCATCCCACAACAATGTCTTGAGCTTGCCTTAACGATTATCTGATTGTTAGCTCTGATAACTGGCCTAGTATGACGTAGAACTAGTTCAAAGGAGGATCGGACAGGTTGTTATCTTAAAAAAATGCAGAAATATATAATTCCAAACACTGTCGAAGACAGGCAGCACACAGTTATCCCACCCAAAATAGGGGACTTAAACCTCACAATCCAAAGAGCAGAGTGGAGCGGTATATTTCTTCGACACGCAGAGCAGAAAGTCATTTACTCGGCCATATTTGGGCATCCTATGCCTGTATTGATCCTGAACTGGCACCTCTCATTAATCAGTCTTCTGCGCTATCGGATTTATCGTGTGCAGGAATTCATTTCCGATGTAAGAATGTCTTATCTTTCTTCAAGGCCACAGCAGCGAGTTCAAATAGCATTTTGTCATCCAACGCACATGAGATTCTCTCTCGCGCCCCCCGATCTGCAGAAAGTGTCATGGAGGCTGTTGCTACTGGGTCTGCTGGCGTATCGGGCGAAAAAATGCCCCTTCTCTTCAAGGTCTCAACGGGCAGCCTCTTCCCCAGTCTGACAAGTTTCTGCTCCCGCGGCAACGACTTTATGCTCCTGGGTTTCGGAGATGCCATTTTACCAGGTCAGTTATGCTCGACTCTCATACCCTTGACCCAATCGTTTTTTTTTCAAACAACATTGCATGACCTACCGCCATTCGGCTTTTTTGCGATCCTAAGTTGTCTAGAAATAGAGCGCGACTCTTGACCACCAACTATTACTAGATGCAGCTTTTTTTTACCAGGATGAGTCATCCAGTTCAGGTCGTTTTCTGTGACCGTTAACCTGCTACTGCAGAAGTCGGTTTTACTAAACGTCTTTTAGAACGATTCGGTTTTACATGGTTATATCTGGGAGTAGTAGGTTCTGGCACAGTGTTTTTTAAAGCCATGGACATTACGGGTGCTTTATCAAACAAGGGTTTTGACGATTTTCCCGCCAGTCTTTTACAGTCGATCACTTTGGGGCATCTTACGAGTCCTTCATAATTTTCGATTGCTGTCCTCTATGGCCGTCTTCACCGTTAGTTTTCAGCTTATTTCGTTTTCCACTACTCTCTTCCAGGCGCCCTTTGTGTATTTATGGCCTTCTACGACGCCTGTTGGAAGATGAGGTTCCCTCATCACCTAGCTGGAGCAGTGGTCGGTAAGTAAAGTTTTGATAAAATCAACGTTCGCTTCCACAACCTTAGGAGCGATGAGTTCCGCAGCTGTGAAGGCACACAGGTGCCCTGTGTTCCGCCTGGCTATCAAGACAGATCCGTGAACGTCACTGCAGCGTGCTACTGATCACAGTTGACAGAGCGTGAGCCAAATAGCTCTGGTTTAACCTAAATGCCCAATGGGCCACTGGACCTTCGAGCAATCAAGAACCCTGAGAAGACGGAACACCTCTCTTAGCTTAGCTACTGACTGCGCAGCGCGCGCCCACAATCGGCGGGCAGTTCAACGGTCCTCAATGAAAGTTAGCTCCTAAATATACAAGTTTGCAGATTTGACAATAAGACAGTCGCGTACTCCCAACGAACTACTACTAGCAGCATTCAGGGTGTTTAAGTCTGTCAACTGACTGCCCACTGAGATGCCGCAGAATCGACGATGAGGGCATAGACATGGCGGTCATGAACGCCCCCCCTACCTTACAGACTGGAGAAGTTGAGGATTGTGGAGCAAAACTTACGCAAATTCTTGAGACATCAACATTTCCACACACAATAGGTGGGGCCACAAGGATTAGGCGTATGGTGAAGCAATCCAGCGGGACTATTAGAACCCCTGGCACTTACATCGCACGACCACAACGAATACTAGAGTAAAGCTGCCCGAGATCGTGTACGGTCTTTAGCTAATAAAAATACGGGGTCGTGTGGGGCTTTTTGGATGGTTTAGTCCTCCACTCCTGCCCCAATTGTCTGAATCTGCAAAGATCCTATGATGGCATCAATTTTGCCAGCGACACCAATGGAAGGGACATTCTGTCCTACTTCTAGACCTGGCCGGCTCGGCACTCTTGATTCCTGTTTCGTTTGAAGAAAATCTTGAGCACAAATACGGTCATAACCGAAGATCATCAGCTGCTTAAGAAAACCCCCAAGCGATGGCGAAAATAAAGGAACATCGGCGGAACTCTGAAAGTACTGTTTATTAATGTTTACTGACCAGTTACACAGCCTTCAGAAACCGTCCCAACGGACTGGAATGACGCTATCATTACTCGGGTCTTCCAGAGAAATACAAACCAGTGTGTCGGTTGCCGTTGCGTAAGTCTTAGAAGCCTGCTTGTACTACGCAAACAAGAATCACAGCGGTTCTCGGCCGGGGTATGGTGGGCAGACCGGTATTTCTCCTTTCGTCAGGTCCGCTATTTCTGCTTCGTTGAGGGCAGCGCACTTGTCCGTTTTCTATATTTTGCCCGTGCGTTTGACACCGTCAAACTGGATTCCATGCGATTGACTGTTTGTGCCGCATTATGAAATTTTACTGGACCAACTTCTGCTTCTAACCTACTATTGCTTTCTAAGGAGCAACATCCTTGTAAATGTCTAGGAAAGGTAATTGTTCGACGGTACCCTCCATCTGGGTGGGGGCTGTATGCCATTTTTACAGCTACGTATTAGACAACGATCACGAATGCGCTGACGGAGTTGCGACGTTATCCAGCTTCTCTGCTGAAATCGAGCGTGCTCTTGACAATTTCGATGGCAGTGGATGTGGGCTTGACATTAAAGTAAAATCCGAAATGAGCAACTTTAATTTCTCGGTTGGTTACATCTGCCCGGCCGTTATAGACAGTTGCGGACAGTCTTTGCTATGCAGGACGAATTTCCTACCGAACTGAAAAGTCAAGGATGGCGTCGACACTCGGATTAACCAGACAAGCACGATGCTGGTTCTACTTCTTCTTAACGTCTGAAGTCAGCCTTGGGTTTGGGCAGAAAACCGAACTGCGTGTATTCGAGGCCTCCTTTCGGGCAGTTCTATGCTGACGTGAGACATGAGCCGCGCTCGCAAAAACATATTCGATTCGGAAGTATTTGGTCGATGCCGCCTTTTCTCCTTCCTCCGAATTCGTCTCCCTGATCCCTTCTCCAGAAACCAGCTGTGTAGTCGCTCGCAAGCAGGACCTGTTAATTGTACCATTCTTACTTTCCAACCGAGATAATTTGGTCATACGCGGAGCCATTCTGACGTTGATATCATCCAAGATGCCCATTTGCTCAAGCCCGGCCTTGACTGTTGAGGGCGTCGAGGTGTCCAACTGCAATGGGAGCGGACATGGTGAGAGCTGGCCTCAAGTAAATTTCCGTTTCTTTGATATTTGGCTTTCGGGGACGACGTGCCAACTGTCGCCAGTCGCATGCAATGAAGGCGATTTTTCGGTGTGTGTGTGAACCGTCAGCCACATTCTGCTGGACGGGTCAGTTATGACGGACGCGGTTACAAGTTCAAGTACACGTCTTGTTCGTCTAGCACCGTTTAGTAGGCCTTATTCCTCTTGTCTTACCACGAAGGACTTTTTGGAAAACTTTCATACTATATTTCTCTTAATATCCCAAGTCTGTCCTATCAACGCCGCCCTGTGTGTTCCAATCCTTTGTTATTGACTTCGCTAAAATTCCTGGTTTTGGTAAAAGCGTCCATCGCATTTGTTTTTAGGCTACTGCATGGGTGGCCTGCTTGTCGCAACTGTCCTTTTTACCACAAAAGCCGCCCAGCCGGCGCTGCTTTACCTGTGCCCCCTGACCCTCGGCTTCACCGTCCTCTCAGCGTGGGTTCACGGCTCCTGGCGTGAGGTGCAGGAACTCTGGTTCTCACGTCTACCCGCCGCACCCCTGCCACAGATCTCCCTCCCGGAGGATGACCCCGACCTGGATACTGTTTCGCATACTTCCAAATGTGACAGCCACTCACTCACGGTCTAGTATTTGTGAGCTGCTGTTCGTGCCGGCCACTTCTGCCTACCGGTAATGGTAGTAGTAGTAGTAGTAGTAGTAGTAGTAGTAGTAGTAGTAGTAGTAGTAGTAGTAGTGGTAGTAGTAGTAGTAGTAGTAGTAGTAGGAGTAGTAGTAGTAGTAGTAGGAGTAGTAGTAGGAGTAGTAGTAGTAGTAGTAGTAGTAGTAGCGAACGCGAAGCAAATGTACCAGTTGACTGTGCATTCATCAGAGGCCCAGGCTGAAATCAAGCCATGCGTTTTAAAAAAATTGCCCGTGAATGCTAATTGGAAGGTGGAAATGTTTACTTGTTTTTTGACTTTTGATGACTTAGTAGGCCATTTACCTTGCGTGTGCGCCTGAAGTGTTTCTTTTATTTGACAGCCAGTTTCCATCTTTAAGCTGTATCACGGTAGCACTATGGATTGTGTTGTTCAAGTTCTTTGACTAGATCTTTTTACTCACAATCAGTTGCTGAAGCTGAAAAGTTGTCAGTCGATTCTTAGCGACTAGCTTCTCTTAGATTGTGTACTGTCAACACGCATTTATGACAGGTGTTAGGGTTTGTAAATCGAGACCATTGGAGTAGTTGTTTTTGGCCGAACAAAGCCGTTGTCATTTGACCATACAGACGCTATCACAGTTGGTACCATTGCCGTGAGCCTACTTCATTGTGGATAGCCGAGAACCTCTTAACGACGACATCATTTTCCTCATTATCTCCACAGGTTAGGACTTGCACTATATTGCCTAATCTACTTTTTGTCGTTGTAACTCAGGATTTCCCGGCTCACCACTCCAGGCATGTGTGTGTGGGGGGCAGTCAGTAAATTTGACGGTCATAGCAAATTCGAGTTCATTCTCCTCTCTATTTGTAGATCTCTATCCCTCCTCATCGTCGATCACCCCTCTCAGCGCGGATAAGCGCGACCCAGCGTGCGATCCTCCCTAGGCAACTGTGGTGTGTCCCCTGGCGACCGTTACACACCTAACTATCTTCATAGTTGGGCTCCTACATTCCTCCACTCAAATCTCTTGTTTCCCCCCGCCCATGCTCCTTCCGTCTAATTTGTGCCCAAGACACCCAGTTTGAGGTATTAAACTGAACATTAGTTTGGCTCACAACTTATTTTTCTCCCTCCTGCGTCAGTACCTCGCTGTTCTGTCTGGTAGTCTTCTTTGACCTATTTGGAAACTTTTAAATCTTCTCGCTCTTGTTTTATATTGTAAAGTTCTCAGCGCCATGACTTCTTTGGCCGACAGTATCTCGTTTTCACAGCGCTTTGGGATTACCGGGGAGTCGGGTGCCGGTGATACACAGCTAGACCGACCAAAGTATTTTAGCTCCAATGACAGCCTTTATAGTTGTGTAGTAGTGTGCCCATAAAATTAGCCACGCGGCAGATGTGCTGGACTAGCACGAAGACTAGGTCGAATTCTGCCAGGCGTTATGGGGGATGCGCAACAATAATAAATGCCAACATCCGGGGTGTGGTGGCAAGTCCAGTGAGAGGCTCGCATCGCGCCGATTGGGATCTCGGCTGTTCCCTCCGCCCACTTTCGTTGGAAATTCTCGCTGAGTGTTTGTTGTAGACCAGGTGTGGTGGCACCCCTACGTGCGGGTTTTCGCCGCGTCAGTTGCCTGCGACCTTTCTCACCTGTCTTCCTGACTTGGTCATGACACCTGGCCCAGGTGGCAAAGGAGGGGGAAGTGCGGTAGTTGCTGTGCAAGTCTACCATCACTATGAACTAGCCCACACGCAAGTCCTCGTCCCTGCTTTCACCCTGTTGTGGAGCACACGCTGGGCATAGTCGAAATCGATGGTCGAACTGTCGTGTAGCAAGGTGCAGTGCAGTAAGGAGAAAATCACTAGCGTGGCTGGATTTTTAGTTGGGTCATTTGTTGCCGGGGCCTAGACAGCACTTTTATGCAGCGCCATTCTTCGTCAGGTAATGTTGCTTGACCTTATGCTGATTCTCTACTCCAAAAGGCTTAACAAGTCGTTGGGAAAGTCACGTTTGCACAAACGAGTATCTAACCTGTCTGTGCACCTTTTGGTGCTTTGCTATGACTCAGCACCGTTAACGTCACATATCTGTCTTGTGACACGACCTTTGAAAACAGGCCGATCAGGATGTATTGATTAGGCGGTACTGGATGCATGTAGATCTGACTAGTGTCAGAGCGCGCTGGCCGCATCCTGCCGTGATAGTCGTTGCAAACTGGCAGCCGTCTGATTTTAGCGGGAATCCCACTGATCACTGAGTATGTTTTCCCACTAGAAAGACCACCAAATGTATGCGCGTTGTTCCCATAACTCCCGGGTTTGGACTGCCGAATGTGAGCGGTTAACACATCCCTCCTCCCGATTTATGTTTTACTAGACACGTTATATGGACTTTCTAAGCTGCAACATCTAACCCGCAAGACAGCGGTGGTAGGAGGGCCCGTCTTTACGCGATTCGAGCCACTTTCCATCAGCAAGCTGATGTAATTTCCTCACTACGACCTGGCCTGTCAGTGTCGCTCTTAGAGCATCTAAAACCATGCCCGGTTATGAGTAAAGTGCTTGAACAAGCCTCCGAATAGACGCCGTTTTTCAGTCATGATGAACATTATGGGCGCATTTGTTGGAAAGGCATTCTGGTTTTTCTGGACGTGGTTTTAACGAAACTAAAATCGGCTCTTCTGGCAGGATTCTGAGTCACGTCGCAGTCAGGTGAAAGAGGTATATTTATAACTGGGGTATTTTGCTGGCAGACCTTATTGATATTTAAAGGCAATGACAGTTGGACCGTGAATTTTTGCCCTCGCTCATGGCGGTTTGGCAAAGTTGTCTCGCCATATGAACTTGAGACCGATTCGTTGTGCACGCTGTGCTTCCCCTCCCCTCTCATGCGTGGGTGGCGCGTAAAGTTATGAGAAACTGAAGTACTTCTTCATGAAACCTTGAAAGAGAGCCTGACGTTTACAACAGCGGTTTCACGAAGTCAAGTAGGTGTGGTACTTACTCATGCATGCTAGTTGTGCATCCAAAGACAGGCGTTCGACCAATCAAGAGAAAGTGAGACGGAGAGCGAGGGAGGAAAACATCGTATCTGCTCGACTTTAAGTGTCGCCAACGGGGCGTGAGCACGTAATGGTGGTGCACTCGCTCGACAACCGACTCAGTCAGGGTCCACCCGGCCTGTGATGGGTGTATATTTAGACGACGACTGCTAATATTACCACAAACAGTCATTCTCGTTTCTACACTCTGGTGGAGGCTACTTATTTGCAGTTAGTGTGGAGTACCTCGACCGCCAACAGTTGGCACGTTCGCGTAGCTCACACAGAGTCTGTTGAACCTAGCTGCTTTGTAGCCTGTCTAGATTCAGTCGCCTGAATCGGCTTACATCGTGCCGCCCGTACGTGGAAACGGTGTAACTAAGTACAGGATTGTACGGAATCACGTTTCTGTAATTGGCATGATTAGCGAAACTTAAATGCTACGCTTGCAACCAAATGTCTCCAGACGCACAGTCAGAAAGATGTGGCGTATAGTCAGAAGGGCAGTGTCAAGTTACGCGCGAAGAAAACGGGAAATTCAAATAAAGTGTATGAGGCTTGGAGAAAAACAGATTCGCATAATTTTCTGAGGCCAACAAAAAATTTAAAGTACGCAGTAACAGGTGTCAAAAAGTGACAACACACGTGGGAACGTACAGTTAAGGCATCAGCTTACGTAGTCAACCCCCATTTCCTAAAAATAAGTGTGACTCCAGTATAACCTAACGAAAGGTTCAAGTATATGGTCATGACTGAAGTGATGTCTCCACCGTGATCGTCATATTTCGTGGGCCTCCTGACTAAAGGGATAAAGTGGATGACTCTAGAATGAATAGCGCACGAGAGACGCCGCACGCAGCAACGGACAAATTTCACTTCAGTAGGGAGCACGCCAATTGATGCACCCTGGTGCATCTGGGGGAGGGACCAAGTCTTGTTTAGTGCGCGTACTTTGACTGTCACTGTACCTGAGCCCACCTTGACTGCGTCACCATCTCAACCTGGGGAGCGAGATAAGGAAATGTAGCTGCCGCTAAGAACGTCTTCCCCACTGGCTGCTAATTTACACATCAGTAGCCGGTGCCTCAACTCCGTGGGGCACGCAATGGACTTCACCGCTTGCGACCGGCGAACTGTCGTCTTGCCGTCCCCGAGGGGTTAAGTGCTCAAGTAGGGTGTGGGCAGTTGTGGTTGGCTGAAGGAATCTGTCTGAGCTGAAAGCTGTTGAGTGGCCGTGGTTCAGCTTGTCGGAGAAAAGGAAAAGTGCTATTGCAGCCTATGTGACGAAACCGAGTGACCTTTAGTCGTTTGAAACCCAAGGCCAATATGACGATGGTAGTCGGCCAGAATTGCGAGGGCGTAGAGTGGGTTTAACACAACACAATGTCAACGGAAAATAAAGCGGGAGGGATTATATCAAGAAGTTATTGGCAAATAGATTTGGATAAATGCACGAACCCAGTCAGGTAAACTGGTTCCAAAACATTCAGAAGAAAAAGTGGCGAGCGAACGTTGCTTTCGATAACTTCTCGTCAGGCCAGTACAGTTATATGGGATGGGGTACAGTGAGTGAAAAAAACGATAAAAGTTACTTTTTAAATACAGGCTAGGCAAGAGCGGAAGGGCGCAGAAAGTTGTATGCGGTTAGTCAACCTTTGACTACGGTAAGCGCGGAGCCTGAACGAGGTTCTTCTGGGCGCATAGGGTCGGTTTTCTTAAGATAATGCGGCCGCTTCTGCTGTTGCTAAGAGGCGCTGGCCCAATAGCTTAGGGTCGATCAAGGAAACCCGTTTCTACCACTGTCTCTAATGATGTGTTAAAGCAAGAATCCGAAACGTCAGGCGAATAAGGTCATTAGTACCTCTGATGACTAATTCGTAGTTATCTTGCAGACGTCCCAATAAATATTATGTCCATCAGATAAGATTATCTTTCGGGGTTGTCGTTAAGCGCCAAATTTCCTCCTCCCCTATGTTCTAGTGATGTTAGTATTTCCAGTGTATACAAAGGGACATTTATTTTCCTAGGAAATCCTACTATTATTAAACAAATTTACACCGTTACTTTCTTTTAATCCTGCGATTTTATGCAAATACTTGAAAAATTGATCAGAATCGATAGCTGAAAAGGAAAATTGCTGACTTATTTTGGCCGGCTTTAAAAATCAACTGCCGCCTACGTCCATTGATTTAAGATAAGACGCCTTAATCCGAAAAGCGATTCTTTTGTTCCGTCATCGAAAGTTGCTCGGGTTAAGGCTAGTCAAGCGTTTACTGTTTTATGCTTCCGCTTACTTATCAGCAGCGTTACTCACAGTGGGCTTTCCCTCTCACCTACGCCCTCCTCTCTAGCAAATGGACCTCAAAGTTGGCGGATACTTTAATCTAAACCTAGTGGCCTTCACTCAAACAGCACTCATTAACAGACGCAGCTCTTTAGACAGGATTGTGCTATTAGTGTTGAAGTCGGATTACTGTTACGGCCGCTTAGTAAAAGAGATATTATCGCAACAGTACCGTTTTTGCAGACAGGGAACCGTGGTAATAGGGGTTTTACGGGTGGGGCAGAAGGAAAACAATAGGAAAGTCACCAAGTGATGTTATCGTGTCAAGGAATGACCCAAAAAGTACAATGTTCGTTTATATCAGCACAAAACTCATAGAGTAATGAGCTCTCAACTCAAAAAGTGGTTAAGGTAACCTAGGAAAACTAGGATCGCCTTAGAAAATGTAATTGGACGGTCAAGGTCGCTGAAACTGAGCCGAACAAAGCAATAACCAATGGGAATGACCTTGGAATGCTAATGCAGAGGAAAGTGGGTGTCAGATGAGCGTAGCAAACTGTAGGGATGTAGACACAGTTTGTCCAATTTTGAATTAAATGTGTTAGAACCCCTAGTGCCTTGCCGGTTATCCACCGGCACCACGGCGCCGCGCTAGCCATCTTAAACTTTTCTCCCTTTGGCCATTGGAACACTGCGATATATGGTAGTTTGCGACCTCTATCATCCTACTGGCTAATCCTCTGTGTTTTTCTACCTTTCATTGCCATGCTTAATCCTGCCTATTTGGTCTATTCATTAGAAATACCGAGGACAATTGGTGTCCAGACACCTTGGACTGGTGAACACCTCCACATGTCATCGCCGTTCTCACTTGCTTGTATCAACGAAGGACCGCGTCCAGGCCAACCAGTTCCCGTAAAGCACCCTCCGTGTCCCCTATCCTGTCTGAGCTCCAAGCGTATTCTCATCGTCCTAAATAATCTCTTAACTTCCCTTAGGCCACTGCCTTGTGTTCTTATTGGTGGTCGAGTAAGGGGGTTTTGACAGGTAGCGCGGTTGGGCGGCTTACAAAACAGCAAACCAAGCAGGTAAACATAAACTGCGACGATAATGAGAAAATTGTCAAATTTCCTGGAACTTGTAAAAAAACTTTAACATCTTGAGCAAAGGATTAAAAGTGAAACTTAAGCTACTGAACACTCTAAATGGAGTATCTAAAACGTGTCGGTATGTACTGAAAAAGTGTGAAGATATTTTGCGGTATTAAATGGACCCCAACCGTAATCCGAAACTTAATGCTAACCTTAACCTTAACCCTGGGCCTAGCCTCGACTCTAATCCAAAACCTAACCCTAACCTCAACCCTAACAACAACCATAATTGAGAGTCTAACCGTATGCCTAATATTTAAATCTGGACAATGTCCCGAACCCTAACCCGGCAACGATAGGGTGTAGGGCCCCCAACTAACTCGAGCTAGCCTGTGGACCTTATCGTACGCTGAATGGTAGTAGGGGAGGTTTTGCCGTTGGGACACCACACAGGACGGAGAGCGAGAAGACACAGAAAATGGATAAGTTTTTGCCGAAAGTCTTATCGTACGCTGTCATTTGGCAAAGAAAATGAGCGCGACAACTGAAAAATAGATGAAAAGTAATTTTCAGAAAATAACAGCCTTTGAACAAGGCGCAGCTGGTAAGTTTACATATAGTCAGGAAGGGGAGGAAATTTCAAACGCTTGGAACGGTGAATAATAGGTGATGCAAGGAAGATGAACGCGCGATCACTGGGACAGTACTTATATTATTCTGAGATTTTGGTCTGGTACAGGAGGCCACTGACAGAGACCGTGAGAATACGACGTGAAATTAGCAGTTTCGTAGTCAGGGCAAAGGGGGATAGTAGTGCAGGGTGCTCGCAATAAGGCCTAGCCCACGCCGTCTCGCGGCGGCGTGACGGTGTGCACCCTTGGCTGGCAATTGGGTCTCGCCTTCTGGTCGCGGGAAGGGAGAGCGTGATAGCAGGGGGGTAAGTCTGTTGATGGAGTTGGTTTCAGACTCACAGGCCTCCAGCATTTCTCGCTCTGTCTTATTGCTGATCCCCGCCATTATCAGAGTGCTCACAAAGTTGAATTCGTGGCCTTCCCCCAGGGTGTGAGTGCCGACCTGAGACAACGGACCGCACCTCCGGACTGCCTGTTGATGCTCCGTCATTCGCGAACTAAACCGTCGTCCGGTCTGTCCTGTGTAATGGCGAAGGCATTCCCGGCATGGGATCAGATAAACGACACTCGACTGTTTAATAGAAGCAAAGAGACGAGCCCCAGGAAACAGTCTTGAAGAAGAAGACACGATCGCCAGGACAAGAGCTTTATTAGCCTGACGTTTCGGATTCCTGCTCGAATCCATCATCAGAGACAAAAGCAGATAAGGGTGGTTCATGCATATGCGGCTGCAGTATTTATAGGATGCAGTAGCCATGCTACCGCATACCTTATCTGCTTTTGTCTCTGATGGTGGATTCGAACAGGAATCCGAAACGTCAGACTAATAAAGCTTTTTTCCCGGCGATCGTGCCTTCTTCAACCCGACTGTTCCCCTACGTCTCGTCGGTTCTTTATTTAAATGCTTTGTTGGGCATGATCTCTGTCAGACGGTTAGCAATACCCACTCCGAGCTCTCCAATGATACATTTCGTTTTTTCGGACACATTATTTATATATGGTACAGAGTGCTGGAGTGTAAGCGGCTCTCCTCCGTTTGTTCGCCGCGGGTGCGTGCTGGGGCAGCAGCTGACGAAGCTGTTTGGGTATCCATTCCTTGTCAGATAGTCCCGAAGATGCCGTAGTTCTCCCAGTTCTCCTTACGGTTCACTGCAGTACGTTTTTCCCCTCTGGAAGCGTGCCCTAATACAGCTGCGTTTATACGCCATTAGGGAGTTAATATGGAATTTGAGAATTTGAGTCGCATTAGTCTCCTTCCTATACACCGTGGTGCTGAGTTCACCATTGGATGTGCATGCGACGAGAACGCCAAAGAAAAGCAACTGTTTGGCATGCTCTTCTTCATTTGTGAATTGAACGTCGGAGAAGACGGCATTAAGCAGGTCTTGAAAGTCTGAGAGTCTGCTCCTTTCAATTATAAGGAAAGTGTCGTGTATGTACTGGCCCCAAAACTCATATACATAGTGGTCGATGACGACTTTTTCCAGCTCCTTTAAGACTAGTTCTGCAACCAGGCTGGATATTGGCGAACCCGTCGGTGTTTCTTTGATCTGCTCGTACGTTCTGCCATTGAAGGTGAAAAAGGTATGTTGGCAGACAGTAAGGATTTGCAGTAAATGGTCGATTTTTAGAGGTCTGATCGTTCCGTAGTAGTTTTCTTCGAGACTTTTGGGTTGAATATCGCATGCTTTGTCCGGTGGGATGGAAGTGATTAAAGAAAGCCCGTCAAAGGACACCATAATTTGATCAGGTCGCATAGATATTCCTCGGATGTCGGCCAGGAGTTGGGAGATCGAATTGATAGGGGTCCTCTAGCCCTCTCGAAGAAAGTTAAGTTTACGGGCCATCCATTTGGATAGATTGTATGTGGTGCTGTCTTTCAAGGCAAAGATCGGTTGAAGGGGAACATTGGGCTTGTGGATTTTGGGTAATCCATAAAATCGAGCCGGTGCCGTGTCCGTTGGTCTTATCTGTCGCCACTCGTCTAACAGTATCGCAATGTTGCGTCTGAGTCGGTTGAAGAGACTGGTTACTTGAGTGATCATCGATTTGGTTCGCGTGGAAGGCACAGATTTGTAGGACTGGTAGAGGAGCGCTCACCGATCGTTTCTACGGAACTCACTCGTCCCGTTGTGCTTTACGGGCTTTCTCTCGAGCCCAACCAGCAGCCGTACAGCGACGCATGATATAGACAGGATAGGAATACCGGCAAAGAAAAGGGAGACTGGAATGGCCATTTCTGGCTTATTAGCCGTCGTCAGCCAGTCGTACCCAACCCCGAATCGTGGAACACCTGGAACCGGCTGATGACGGCTGATACGCCAGAAATGGCCATCCCAATCTCCCTTATCTTTGGTCGACAATACTATTTGTAGGACTGTTGGTCGTCGAGGAGGGCTTGTGTCTTTCCGTTATAATCGACGCGGTTCATCATGACGATTGCTCTTCCTTTGTCGGCTAGCAGCATTTTTATATCCTTGTCCATTTTAATTCCTTCACTGCTTCTATTTCTGCAGGCGACGGCCTCCTGTACGAGACGGAAAGCTATAACTAACATACGTACTGTCCCAGTGATCGCGCGTTCATCTTTGCCACAAGAACCTGGGACTCGCATATTCGCTTTCATCCATAATAAGTGATGTTTGCATCACATTGAAATTAGGATATATTTTTGTAGTTCCCATTTACTTGTCGATCCTACATTCTATCGTTACCCCTAATAAAAAAATACCTTAACGTTAACCCTAACTGCAAGCCTAACCGTCAACCTAACTATGAACTTTACTTTTAACCCTGATCTGACTCCAACCGTAGACCAAGCACTAACCCAGCCCTAGACCAAGCATAAACCATAGTCCAAAGCTCACTCATAAACCGGACAAAAGAACAAACCCCAAACCCTAACACTAAATTCATTTCGAGCCCTTACACTAACCCACACCCCAAAATATCCACCAAACCGACAAAAGAAATCCTAACCTAACCGCTAACTTAAAGATAACCCTGAGGGTAACCCTTATCATAGGCCTAATAACAAACCTAACTGTTACCTTAAAGCAAATATAAACATGAAGCTGACCCTGGAAATCTAAAGGTAAGCTACTAATGTTATTCTTAGTCTAACCGCAACCAACATAATCTAGGCGGCGACTAAAGAACTAGTTGTTAACCGCCTACCTGAGTCAGTCATGCTGCGAACATAATAATACGTCGACGAGCCCGGACAGAGTAATAGAGCCCTGCCGCCAAAACTGCCCTATTAGCTGTACGTATTCCTTTACACGCCTCAATATATCATTGGGTGTGACTTAGGATTTATTTTTCCTCCGTAACATTGTTCCTAGGATAAAGGTTTATTCACCCACCCATTGACATGAGGCTCACATTTCAGGACGCGAGTTTAAGTTAAAATGGGGTTCTTAACAACTACGTGCTTTAAGCCAGATATTTCCGCCTATCAACAGCACCACCCAAGATGGATAAATTCAAAATATGAATGGATGTATCTAATAGTGTTGATGTTCGTGGGTTCATCAATCCACCAAATACATGCATAATTTGGTAGAAAAATCGTTTATTCAAATATTATATTCAGGGAAATGAAATATTTAGGGCCTCGTAGCTCAGATGGTTAGAGCGTTGGCTGTACTAAAGCCTCCCCTCCTACTGTCGCGGGTTTAAATCTCACCGAGGCGTCGTTTTTTCACAATTGGGTCAATATGAGTTATTTAGGTTTCAAAATAGTTTTTTTAAAATTCCGAATGATTCTGAACTCTAGCTGTCGTTTCATTTGCGTGTAGGGCTTTCAGCCCGTAAGATTTATACTAACCATGTAAGGAAAATCGCACATTTCTCTTTGTTATTAAGAAGACGACCTACAAAGCTCATGGGATTTTGTAATTAGGCAAAAAGTGCATTTCGACGGGGGTCATCAAAATGGATGTTAGATTGACTCCTGCCTGGCGTTTGGCAACACTACAATATACCTTTGTAAGGCCATTCGTCGCAATCAAAAAGATTGATATTGCTCTCTCTGAAACGTTCCTGCCCTCGCAAAGCTTGATCATGCATGAGCAAATGTTATGCGGTGCAGAAGTATCACTACAGACTGCTCCTTCCGACTGGAAGTGGCACCCAAATGATGAAGCGCGTGGCAAGTCTTCATCACATCTGTCGTTTGAAGTAAACATCACGTGCTCAGCAGGTCCTCAGTCTGCCTTTAGGTGCCTTAGTGAGAGTGCACTAGGTGTGTTCCCACATGAGTTTTGTAAAGTTGTCGAAGGTATTGGTTACACATGCGTTTGTGATGCAGTTATGAGTCTAACGTTGACAGGAAAGTATGTCACTGCCAACTGCTGTGCCGTTTAAGTTAGACAAATACACAACCTGCATTCCTCCCTGAGGCAGGAAGGTATGCAGATCTTTGAGTTATTTGAGTTCATCTAGATATGGCCACCTATCACATGAGTAACTTCATACGTGTTTGATGAAGAGTTGTTTTTGAAATGTCCCAGCGTTTATTCTACGCTACCTTGTCCCAGTAATATGATGCCTCTGGGAAAGTAGGCGAATTCCGTGACGCTGCCCGTAATATGAGGGCATTTTGAGTTCCAGAGTATTCCTGACGTCAGACTATTGAGTATAGCAAGACTTTCACATCTGGAAAGTGGGCATTGGTAGCTGAGTTGGAACACAGATCTCCGTAATTCATATTGATTGTCCTGTCATTGTGTTACAGACGGTGGTACATTTTTGTCCCTAAAACATGGCTATTGGTCGTGCCCATTTCCTTAGTTCTTCTAGTCTGTAGTTATAAATTACCTTGATGTTTGAATTAAAAGCTAACGCAGACTGTGCAGTCAGTAACTTATCTCATGAACTGCTAACCGAAATCCAGATATGCGTTTTCAATTAAGAAGGGTTGCCTAAGTGGGATTGTAATATTGATCGTTATGCAGCTTAACCCCATGATATTTCAATCGGGCCAGGATGTCAACATACGCCTGTGAAACCACCGTCAGTGAAAAATGACAACTAATTAGTACGGATTTTCCTAATTGATTTTAGATTCCATTATAAATTCACATACATTTTATAAGAAACGTACTTGAAAATATTATTTCATGTAGTTCATTGGCAGAAAACCATTTCTTCAAATATACTCAAGGAAAGGGCATATTTAGGTTTTGAGATAGTTTTTCAATTTCCAAATAATTCTGAACTTTGTCTGCCATTTCATTTACATTTACGGTTTTCAGCCCAAAAGATTTATGCTTGCCGTGTAAGGAAAATCATATATTTCTCTTTGCATGTTGAAGTTAACCTGTAAGTTTGACAATGTTTTGTAGCAGATGCGGACTATATTGTATGCTTCACGAGGAGCATTACTAAATGGGCAGGTGCTAGATGATTTGAGCGGATACTGCACAGTTTTGCAAAATTTATTATTAGAAACTTTTTTTTAAAACTAAAAGATGCCCTTTCTTCGAGCACAAAGTTGGAAGAAGACGTACGTTTCTACCGAACATGTACAAGAAAAAAATCTTTGTTCATGTTTTTCATAAAATTTGACGTATATATGGGCTTCGAAAGTCGGTGGACATAGTGCATAATATGATGTTAGTAACCGATTTTTCAGGGTGTGGTTTTTTCAGGCAGCCGTAAAGAAGTACATATAAAAGCAAATGCTCTAATATGTCTGTTATATATTGTGATTTGCTGCAAATAATCAATATCGCAGGCCCATTTGAGTAATCTCTCCCAGTCGAGACCGCATTTCAGAATTTCAGCTAACATTTTATCTGAGAAGCCTGTTTTACCCGCTGTTGTCACTGTCTGGCGAAATTAACGTAAGAGATCTGAAAATATAACAAAGGAATTGGAAAAATCGTGTTGTTTTTCGTGAGTGCTTTGCACGGTATCATACATGTAGAGCCCCTTTGGGATTAGTTGGCCGTCTATCTGTCACCATATTCTCGTTTGAAAATTTCCGTCAGCTGCTGAGACTGCCGGCGCAGAGAAGGAAAACAGCGCCTAAGTGGGTCGAAAATTTCAACTTTTTAAAACAACAGTTGGGCACGCATATGCACCCTAAACAGCTTAGTGAGTCCAGGTGCATGTATTTAAAAGATGATCCTCAAACGGGGCGTATTTTACTGAATGGGTACGGTATTACCGACAAAGACAAAGGAGACTGGAATGGCCATTTCTGGCTTATTAGCCGCCGTCAGACAGTCATACCCAACCCCGAAGTGTGGAACGCCCGAGGCTCGAACTCGCGACCTGTTAGTTAGAAATCCAAGCCTCCAACCACTGGGCCACGAGCTCGTTGCCCTGTCGGTTTTGATCGGGAGTATAAAATGGTAGGGGACGCTCCCCGATCTTTCTTACGGAACTCACTCGTTCCGTACCATTACATATTCCCTATCGAAACCGACGAGGCGAACCCAGTCACACCCCAACTTCGGGTGTTTCCCACTTCGGGGTTGGGTATGACTGGCAGACGACGGCTAATAAGCCAGAAATGGCCATTCCAGTCTCCTTTTTCTTTTTCGGTAATACTATACTGCCTATATCATGCGCCGCTGTGCGACTGCTGGTTGGGCTCGAGAGAGAGCCCGTAAAGCACGACGGAACGAGTGAGTTCCATAAGAAAGATTGGTGAGCGCCCCCTACCATTGAATGGGTAAATTTGTAACCAGACTGTCACCAGCATTTCAGGGCTAATAAAAAAAGACACTTTTAGGGGGAGAATGAAGAAGATTACATTCGTCTTTTTTGCAAATAGTAGGGTACACACGAAGATTTGTCCTCAAAATATACACAAATCGCGGATGCACACCTGAGGTGAAACAGAGGCAGTTATGAATGTCACCCGCATAATCGAAAACCGGCCTCTCATTTACGCTCCTCTACACTGCAGATGTCAGAGTAGGCACTTGCAGAGTAAGGTCAAAGGCACCGTCAATCCAATCTACAAACTGTACAAGTCTGTGGTGTTGCGTGAAGCATCAAACGCAGCCCACCAACAAGTCCGGATCCTGCAAACGGAAAGATAGCCTGCTATCTGATACTCTTTCCGAGCAGAAAACACCGAAGTAGGTTAGTGTATGGTATATAATATCACTGCCGCAAACGGACACTTACCATTTGCTTGTACATTATTTAGGCCTCAGCATCCCTACCAAGCATATGACCGTATTTTAGATGTCTAAACACACCTACAGCAGCTGACCTAGACATCAAGACGTCAGATTAACCTTTCATTTCTAGACGCCTGAAACGTTCTGTATTATATTTACTCGTATCAGCCGTTAAGGTAATGCTTTCTCCCTAACAAAAACCATTTCTAGGCAGTTTTATTGATGTACAATTTGTAAACGCGAACGGAAGCCAATGGCGCCCTATTAGTCAAGCAATTACCCATGTTACTAACTCCTGTTAGTTATATTTTCGCACCAGAGTAAGTTTTCTACTGGAGCACAGTAATCTGAACGATAACGTTTTACAAAGTCAACGTGCGGCCTTGTGAAAATTGTCATTTTTGGTCATTTCCAAAAGTAGAAAAGACCGGTCGCAACTTCTTAATTCTAGTAACTGAAAGACAGGAGTTCTCCGTCGTGATTGCATCAATCCATTCAGTGTGGACGTCAACCACCGCCAAGACCATATGGCTTGGAATTGCCCAAAATAATCGGTGTGTACCCTCTTCCATGGGGAGATGGTGCTGGCTCAAGGCTTCAGAGGCACCTTCGGTAAGGTCTTCTGTGTTAATTGACACATGTGACACGCTTTTTCCGTATTTTGGATATCTGCGTCAAATTTGGGCCGTGAAACATAACTGCGGACGAGAGCTTTCATTCTAAATGTACGAGGATGAGCGTTATGCATAACTCTGAGGATGCCCTGTCAGTCTTGTGGTGGCACAACTGCACGATTGTCTCATAATACGCATCCGTCTTGTAGACTCAACTCGTTCTGACGGCCATAGAATGGCTGAAAATCAGGGCAGGCAGATGAAGGCCAGCGTTATTGCAGGGATCTTTTTACCCGGCTTCAAAGGGGTCTCTCGATGTCCACCGTCTAATTCGCTGACAGAATTACAAGTGCATTGACTATATTCCGATGGACCGGTTACTGATATGCCGTCAAGACGTGAAAAAGCGTGAGGTACATCCTTCACGAGGCTATCAGTCAAGCATTGAAATAAACTGGTAGCAGAACTTACTCCAGATGGTTGTCTTTTGTATCGAAACAGACTCCAATGCGTATTGATGGTGGTGGCGTCTCGGGATTCGGTATCTAAGACGACTTGGTTGTAAGCACGCCTCAGGTACAAAGTTGTAGACTAGTGACCATCTGAGAGAGATACGTGGAGATCCTCGAGGTGCGGGAGAGGATAAGGATTCAGTTCCGTTGCTGAACTGATCGTCAGCTTGTAGTCCCCACAGATTCACACAGAGCCTATGCATTTGAGGACAAAAACTATAGGGGCTGCCCATTTTGAATATTGCAAGGGCTCTATAATGTCCGTCCTCTGTAGGCTATCCTGTTCTTCTTTGACCTTCGGTGCGACTGCATAGGGGACTGAACGAGCTTTGAAGAATCGGGGCCAAAAGTCTGATTAAAATTGGAATTTAACAGGTGGACCGCGGTAGTGGGTAGCAGAATCGTCACGAAACAGGCCCTTATCATATGCCAAAATTCAATCTAAATCTGGGTTTACACCAATCCGATGCACATAAAATAGCACAGAGGGCACACATTTAATCCAATTCCGTCCGAGGAGATTTGACTGCTGGCTTCCTCTCCCCACATAAACCGGCAAGTAACGAAGTTCTCCCTCATGCTCAACTTTAGCCGTAATGACCCCTCGAAACTCTACGTTCTGTCCAAGGTAACTACAGAATGTTGAGCTAGCCGGAAGTAGGGGGGGGGGTAATTTCTGAAGATGGGCGTCATTGATGAGAGTAGCAGTCGAGCCAGTGTCGAGTTCAAACTTCACGGGATGGCGATCAATCGGAAGCGTGGTAGTGTAGGGCGATTGGAGCGCCGTGTCGGCTGAAAACATTCGGAGAAATGCCCTTCATCTCCGGCTGGATTAGAGTAGGTGGCACGAGTGTTAATATTCATTCGTCTTTTGGGAAAAAACATTTGTTCGATGCGGCCGATTGTCTTGCAAAATCAGCAAACTGTTTTCCAGTGTCTACCGTCTGACCAACGGATATGATGCTGACCACAGCGGTAGCAGGACGGTGGGTGCTTTGAAGGACCCGATGGTTTCTGCTTAGGTGAAAACCCAGCAGTGTTGACTACGGAGACGGCCACTTCGGGCTCCAAAGTAGCGTTTGACTGATTTAGTTGCTGAAGCTTTTGCCGTAAGTTCTCCTGATGACTAGCGATATCACAGGCCTTCTCCCATGACAAATTACTCTTCCTTGATAAGTGAGCTTCCCGAGATTTCCCGCCTCACAAACCAACGATCAACCGCTGAACGAGCATTGAGTGCTCGAAGTTGTCTGCCGTGACCTTTTTATACCAGCAGTCCCGAATGACCAGAGCCAGATTCGTAATAAAATCACCGATGCATTGACTGGATTCCATGCGCATCTGACAAAACCGATAACGGCTGAGGAATGCGTTGTCTTTTCCTCCCCACGCTGACTCGAGCTCTATGAATGTTGTTTCGAGATTAGTAGCCTCTTCTAAATCAAGGGCGTTGAAATACCGTTGCCCCAACACTCCAAGATTGGTTCGGAGAAGTTCCAATTTGGAGGTAATGTCTAGTGCAATCGTCGGCGACAGCATCGGAAGCAGTTCAATGTAATCCTCAAATGTCTTTCTACATTGCGACCACGAGGGTTTGGGAACGCCTTTCGGCCAGAAAGGTTACTGTGTATGCAGTAATGAAGCCATGTTTGTTAAGCTGCGTCGCCAATGTTGCGTATGCAAAACAGAAGGCGGGTTAAAGAAGGACGTCTACTGAGAACGGGAGACAGCACAAGTGGGGAGGCTTGTAGGCATGGCTGGGTATGGGGCATAGGGGGATGTCCTAGGCTGAAGGGTGGTCAATTAGAACAAAGGAGTTTTGAACAGGGGTACATGGTCTTGACTGTTCGCCTGTTACGCGCACCTGACGTAATGTCCTGACTGCCCGGGAAGCATACGCTGCACAACCGAGCGGAACGGAGGACGGCGTTAGTGGCACGCGCGTTACAAGGTGAACATCGCTGCACACGACGAGACCCGCCTCGTCGAAAAAGGCCAACTGGAGGAGGTTGGTGTCGGCCACACCTTCTTCTGGAACGGTCGCCCAAGGCAGAGAGACGGGACGGGGCGTCGCCTTTGCCATCCGGAACGACACCGTGAGACGACTGCCCTGTCTGCCACAGGACATCAATGATCGCCCGATGAGCCTCGGCCTGCCTCTCCGGGGAGGCAAATTTGCCACCATCGTCAGCGTCTACGCTCCCCGATGACCAGCCCGATGTTGAAAGGAACAAATTATACGAGAACCTGCACGCCCTCCTGGCATCTGTGCCGAATGCGGATAAGTTGACTGCCCTTGGTGGCTTCAACGTCCGCATCGGCACAGTCCATGCTGCCTGGAGGGGAGTTCTGGGTCCCCATGGTCACAATGGCCCCGAGGACAATGGCCTGCTTCTCCTCCGAACCTTCACAGAATAACGGCTCATCTTGACCAACATCTACTTCCCCGCACCGATGCGAGCGAAAGGCCACCTAGATACACCTTCGGTCGCGAGGGTGGTACCTGCTGGACTATGTCGTCGTCAGGAGGCAAGAGCCGCCGGACGTGCTAGTAACAAAGGTGATCCCGGGTGTCTACGGGCGGACTAACCATTGTCACGTCATTTGCAATAAGTAGATTCGCTTGGGGCCTTGCAGGAAACCTCAAGGTAAGCAACCACCAGGTAAAATGGATATTGTTTTGCTGTCTTTGCCTGCCCACGATCTCCATTTCGGCAACGAATAAGCTCAATGGCTAGCCAAACTTCCAGTAGCCGCCGCCTTCGCCGCTGCAGCCGACGGGAACGCCTCTGTCGAGGACCGATGCTGTCAACTGCGGGACGCAGTCCAGTCGACGGCTCCGGCTGTCCTCGGTTGCGCACGTCGCCAGCACCAGGACTGGTTTGATGACAACGGCGACGCCATCAGCAACCTACTCGCAGAATAGAACCGTTTGAATAAAGCTAAGTCAACCGCCCCACCAATGACAAGAAAGTTGCCTTCTACCGTAGTCGCCGCCCTGTGCAACAGCATCTGCGCGAGATGCAGGACGCTTGAGCGGTTCACAAGGCCGAGGAGATTCAATGATACGCGGACCTCAACTAATGGGGGACATTTCCGCGATCAAGTCTGACTGTGGCCCGCCAACCAAAGCAACTGTTCCTCTGCTCAGCGCCGACAGCAGTACCCTACTCACCGAGGAGACACAAATGCTACAGTAATCGACCGAGCACTTCAGCGGCGTCCTCAACCGTCCATCCATCATCTCCGACGCTGCCATCACCCGTCTGCTTCAAGTGGAGACCAACGCCGGCCCCGACCTCCCGCCCTCTCTCCTCAAAAATGTCAAGGCCGTGCAAAAGCTCTCAGCAGGAAAGCGTCCGGATCGGACGCCATCCCTGCTGAGAAATATAAGCAGGGGGGCCCCCAACTCATGAATCATTTGGCGGGAATTTTCCAGGAGACGTGACGTCAAGGAGAAGTCCCGCAGGATTTCAAGGACGCTATAATCGTTCATCACTATAAGTCGACGGGTAACCGCCAGCTCTGCGACGATCATTGAGGCATCTCCCTGCCGAACGTCGCCGGAAAAATCTTCGTTCGCATCCTACTCGACGCCCTGAAAAACCATCTGTGACAAGACCTCCTGCCGAAAAGCCAGTCCGGTTTCCGCCATCATCGTGAAACCACCGAAATAATCCTTGCTACCTGCCAACCACAGGAGAACTGTCAGGAGATGCGGACCCACCCCTACTCTACCTTCGTGGATCTGACGAAAGCCTTCGACGCGGTGAATCACAAAGGACTGCGGAAAAACATGCAGAAATGCGGCTGTTCCAAGCGATTCACTCAGATGGTGCGTCAGCTTCACGTTGGCACGAAGGCGCGCATCATGGACAATGGAGCCGTCTCGGAGGCATTCGCAGTGATCAACGGTGTGGGGCAGGGCCGCGTCCTCACTCATACTCCCTTTAGTTTCATGTTCTCTGCCATGGTGATGGACGCCTACCGTGACGAACGCCCTCGGACCCGCATCGTTTACCGGACGGACGGCCATCACTCCAGTCAGCGGCGGATGCACTTCCAGGCGCGCGTTTCCACAACCACCGCCCGTGAACTCCTCTTCACTGACGGCTGCGCTCTCAACGCTACCTCCGAAGGGGATATGCGAAGGAGCATGGACCTCTTTGACACCGCCTGCGACAACTTCGGCCTGGTCATCATCACGGAGAAGACGGTGGCCATGCATCAACCGCCACCCGACGCTACCTACAACGCACCCCAAATAAACCTGAATGGCGCCCAACTGCAAATCGTGGACAATTTCACCTGCCTGGGTAGCACCCTCTCCTGCACAACAAAGACCGACGATGAAGTGACCTGCCGAATTGCCATAGCCAGCCAAGACTTTGGCCGTCTGCAAAGCACTGTCTGGAACCGTCACGGTCTCCATCTCAACACCAAACTGAAGATATACAAAGTGGTCACCCTACCGTCGTCGCTGTATGGAGCAGAGATTGGACGGCATACAAGTAGCAGGCGCGAGGAATCAACCACTTCTACTTCAGCTATCATCGGCGGATACTGAGCTGAGGTGGCGGGACCGGATTCCGGGCACAGATTTACTGGAGCGGATGTGAATCCGCAGCATCTACCCCATTCTGAGGCAACTACAACTGCGTTCGATCGGCCATCTCGTGCGGTTGGACGACAAGCGGCCACCCAAATGACTTTTCTACAGAGATGTCGCCACGGGCTCCCACCGACAAGGAGGCCACGTCCACCACTACAAGGACATTACGGAGACTTACGTGAGACGTTTACAGCTCAACCCGGCCAACTGGGAAGATCTCGTCCGAGACCAGTTTACCTGGAGGAGGACAGTGAAGTCAGGCGCAGCGATTTATGAAGCAAATGCAGAACCGCCGCCGAAGCCAAACGCCAGGCTCACAAATCTCAACTGCGCTCAACCCGCAATGCCAATTCTCAACTAGCCTCGACCTGCCCACGCTGCCAGCGGACGTTCCGGACACCCGGACTACACCATCTGCTGTCTTCTCGTCCAACTCTGCCTCATCCTCCACGCCGAATTTAACAATGACCCCACTCCTGAACCTCCACTACCATCCTCCTCCCTCTTCCCCTCCACCTCCATTACTTCAACATCTCCTGCGACGGTTCTTCTACCTAACATCACCGCATACAATCCTGACACACCAATAAACATCAACCTCTTCACCAAAGACGCTAGCGATGTGAATTCAATCCATATTTTTCCTCACTGTGAACACACCTTCATTTCACACATCGGCCTGATCGGTAAATTGCGAACCCATTGCCTGCTTATTAACGTGACATACAGCACTCTCACACATCTTGGATGTACGCTGCTCAATTCCCATTGTGTGAAATCCCGCTGCTTGTGTTTGTGGGGGCTAGGTCTCGTGCATGCGGCGCGCAGACAAGGTCACTGGATATGTCAACCACCGCGCCCATTCTCCGCACATGTCAAATGACCGGCTCGAACAGTGACAGGGGCCTGAGAGTGAGAACAGAGAGCGACGTCGAAGACCAGCGTATTTTCCCCACTAGAAACAATCTGACGAGCTCGAAGCTATCAAAGTGTGCTAAAAGCCGTGGCTTACGATGTTGCCAACTGACAGGATAACGTGGACCTCCCAGTCGGGCCAATGTTGTGTGTTTGTGTGGAGCGGCCGACTGGTCGTCTAGGAGTCAGACCTCAATGACTCCTTCCGAATGTGACCTTTATGGCACTGCTACTCCGTGGAATCCGTGCCTGGTGTGACGGCACACCTGGGGGCGGCTTCGGCCGTGTCAGCCGCTTTTGCTATTGGTCAAAAACCTGGTCATTCGCTGTGTAGATCAGGGGGTGTGGAGTGGAACGTCAGGATACGGGCTCGGTCATGCCATCGACCTGCGTCATCCCCATCTCCGGTCTTCTTGACTCCGTATTGACAACGGGTCCAAGTCGGGAAGGAAGATAGAGTATGGCAGATGCAGCGCAAGTCTGCACTCACTTTAAACTGATTCATGTACATGTCACCGTGCCTGCTTCACCTTGTTGTGGAGCACATTGTGGACGTCGTCGACAACGACGATCGAACTGTCGAGTAAGCGCCGACTTATTCACTTAGGGTAGCTCAACGGGGCCTTATGCATCGCGCGAAAGCCTCGATAGAGTCCACACGATGCCCAGAATAACCAAAATATGCAAAAAAGCGTTGTTTATGTCCCTAGTATCGCACTTTCCCAACCAACGCCCGCAGGTGTTCTCGTATTTGTGTGGATAGGCGCTGACTCGTACGACCAATATAGCCTGCACCAAAGGAGCAAGTTAAGGAGTAAATGCACACATAGGTGGTCTGAACTGATAGTCTATCCTTGCCTTCCCCGTGTAAGACGGGGTTGATGGAGAACAATCCTTGAACTCTTGTTGCCGGGAACGTCCGTGAAATGGCTCTGTCAAGGCGCCTTCCCAGGAGTTCACTCGCCGCGTCCCCCAGAAAGGGGACTTTGAGGAACGGAGATTTCTTTTCCATTGTTGATATGACGAGTTTTGCTGGTCTTTGGATAGATTCCTTGCAATAACTCTGTCAGGACACCTGTACTCACGAAGCGGGTTCTGGATTCTTCTAAGTTCTTCATCAATGCTATCTGCCGAACAGATTTTTCCAACCCCTTCGCACCCAACAACGGACTAGATTACATATCTGTTGAAGGGGTTCGAAACTGCAGAAGTCACGTATTGCACAAACCAGGTATCTTTCCCATAGTTGCGTCTTCGAATGCTACCATCAGCCCCTCTGCTTAGAAGGACGTCTAGGAAAGGCTGGGGGCCTGCCGTTTCCAGCTCCAACGTAAACCTGATTGGCAAATGTGCCTATTTACAGCATCCAAGAGGGCGCTTATGTTGGTTTATCTGGTGGTAATTGCGAAGATGTCGTCAACTTAGCGACCATAGTGCCTTAGCTTATGGATTTGATTGTTAAACTGAAAATTCTCCAGCTTGTTCAGGAAGACATTGGTTAGGAGAGGACCAAGAGGCGACCCCATAGCAACTCCGTCCATTTGTCTATATATTTGGTTGTCAAAAGTGACCGCATATTTTATGTACGTTTTAGTAATAGTTCCTTGAGCGGGTTCGTCGGCATGCCTATTTTTTGATGACTGGTTGACAAGAATCCACATATACACTCGACAGTCTCTGTGGCCGGGAAGTATGTGGAAAACGATGAGACATCAAGTGAAAACGCCACCACACCGCTTAGGTTTAGGTCTTTAACGTCCTTAATGAATTCAAAGGTACCCCCATAGCTGTCCGGTGCTATTTGATACTGTACAGGTTTGAGTTACTCAGATAACCACTTCTCCGTTGCATGACAAAAAGAGTTGTGCATTTCCGAGATCTGACGGACTGGTAGGTTTTTCTTGTGAATCTTCGGCAGACTGTACAATCGAGGGATGTGTGTGCCTACTGAGCAGACGTTTTCGAGGTCGCGATCGCTTATGAAGTCGGCCAGTTGTGCTCCTCCTTCATCCGCAGAATCTTTTCCTTTGTGAGCTTTCTTAAATTTCTTTTGATCTGACAATATTGACTGCATTTTCGCACATAATCCGATCTATTGATTAAAATTACGTTTGTTTCTTTATCCGGTCTTGTTACCAAAATGTCCCTGTTCTCTCTCGGTTGCTTTAACTTCTGTATATGCACTTTTTCAGTTGTCACCCCAATTTTTGTGCTTTAGTTGAGATACTGATAATTGCAATTCACCAGAGTTGATTCCAGGTGTTGGACACTATCTGTGGAAGGGTGTTTTAGATCGTACGTCTGGCTACAGAGATTCTCGAAATGTGTTTCTAAGTCTAGCTAATTGAATTTTCGACGGGGTATGCAGAACTTAGGACCGAGAGGCAATGCCTCAAGTGATGTTTTATCGAGAGGCATAGTAGAATAATTATGTACGTACTGATCTGCGGCCTTTGAAGCCCTCATTGTGGGTTCATTTCTTTCATCCGTTGAAAGAGTAAAGATCTATTTACGTCTCCCCGTTTTATTCCAAAAGAGTCAGTATAGCTGGCAGATCGCTGTATTTCGTTTTCTGTCAGGATGTCAAGATCGGCTGTGTTAACAAACGTAGAGCTCTGGTTTTTCCATCTTTGCGCAGGCGCTTTTTGGTCATCCTACCAATAAACAAGTAACACTTTCAGGCTACTTAACTGATCTAAGTAACGAGAAAGCATTACTTATTTAAATAATACCGCAGTGAGTTCATTCTACCAACCTCAGAATTCCGACTTTACATAAGGCTTAGGTGAACGGGGTTAACAAGTTGATAACCTTACGGTACACGTTCAGCATAATCTTCCAGTGATCAAGACACCTGTGTCGTTTGTTTGTGATTCACTAAGAGACACCCGGCTACTGATTTCAGGATCAAAGCCTTCACAGAGGACACGACCAAGGTACACTTATGACCGGAAGAACTGGTGAAGTAAACGGGTAAGTCCACTTTTTTCTCATCAAACCATTCCAGGAAGTCAAGTGTATAAACACCTGCCAATGCTTACATCTGAATGTTGCTCAGCGATGTTTTTAACAGCAACCCTAACCAAAAGTGTTGTAAGTTTGTCCTCGAACGCGAAAATGTAAATTGTCATTGCAGACCTGAATGCCCTCTTATTTCTCCTAGAATTATTTTGAGTCTAGGGCAGAAATCCTGTTTTTAGACATGCTGATGTAAAACACAAATCCGCGCAGAGCGAGAAAAACAATAGTGCACATAACCTAAGCGAGGCTGAGTGATGCAACCACCTGAAGCCCTAGCTGCAGCAAAATCACCAAATCTTGCCCTTTTACCAGACTGCACACACCCGCTTTTGCTGCCTGACATTCGGCTGCGTTATTTCTGCAGTTTATCTGTCAGCGTATGTGCTTTCGTATCCTTCATCTAAATCCACACTGTCTCCGTTCCTCGTTATTCCTTGTCAATCTGCCACCGGATTAAAATGAATTATATCTGCAAAGGTTCCCGCGTTACGGTGGCACACTCAGTTGGCAAACATTTGTTTTCGGTAATTCATCATCAGGCTACTAAATTACATGGAGAATAAACTTGTGACTTATGGGTTGCCTCCTTTTTGCTACAATCAAATCCTTTGTTTGGCATATTTCTGCGTATAGTGGCAGTCAACGACTTGCTGCAACGGCTTCCTCCCTCGAAAACACGGCTTGTGACTGAAAGAAAATGACTTTCAAGAGTGCGGATCGAAAAGGCTGCTGTCTCAGTGCATAAAAATAATAGCTTTTCATGACAAGGGATGCATACGAGGTTGCCAAGCATCCGCCTCTGCACGGAAACCTGCTGCCGTTGCTGTCAAAACTATTATCGCTTCTTAATAGGGATTATAATTCAGCTTTATCTCCCCCCGGGTTCTCCTGCGAAATATTTCTTTTTCGTTCCGCCTAAACTATTCGGTTCCGTTTAGAACAAAACTAGTAAAAGCGGGATGTATTTGCATTCAACAAGGATCCTTGTCGTGGAAACTACCCTTAACTGGCATAGATAG